GTTTATTTAGTTTAGATAGATATGTGAGCACTTGTTTTTAGTTATTTTGGCAAATTATACTACTCGAATTTTTTGCTCTTGCCCTTGCTCAATGTGGAGTAATATATTGGTGGGAGAATGTTGAGCAATGCTTTTTTTTAAGTTTATCTGAGATATTTATACATAAAATTGCATATGATTTGTTGAATTTTTGAAAGTTTGCATGATAAATAAATTAGCAGCATTCTTACTTGTCCTAAACAATCAGCAGAAGCAATAGGGTGAAATATATATAAGTAATGCTCATCTATTTGTTTCAGATATCTTTGTTGGTCTATTTTATTAGTTAGTTATATGAGCATTGATTTTCAGTTTTTCTGACAAAATATTCATTCGGAATTGCTCAAACTTCAATAAACAGAATTGCAAATAATTTGTTGCATATTTGAAAGTTTGCATAATAGATAATTTAGCAGCATTTTTATCTGTCTTGATCAATCAACAGAAGCAATGGATTGAAAAAAAATGAGCAATACTCAACTGTTTGTTTCATATTTCTTTGTTGTTGTTTTGTTTGAATATTATATGAGCATTGTTTTCAGTTATGCTGATAAAGTATGCTGATCAAATTACTCAAAATATTGAGAACTATTTTTTCTTCTAATTTTCTACAGCATAGACTTTTATAAATATAATTGCATATGTTTTGTTATACATTTAAAATATGAATGTAGATCAGTTAATAGCATTCTTATCTATTCTCATGAATCAGCAAAAGCAGTGGGATGAATTATATATGAGCAATGCTCATTTATTTTTTTCATATTTTTTTGTTAATTTATTTTATTTTGATAGTTATATGAGCACTGATTTTGAGTTTTCCTGACAAATTTTCCTTGCAGAATTGTTTGTTTTGGCCTACTCATTGTGGAATAATATTTTTGGGAGAGAATGTTAAGCACTGTTTCTTTTTTTGTAGTTTTCTTTTACTTAAATTTTTCTAAATATAATTGCATATATTTTGTTGTATATTTGAAGTTTGCATGATAGATAAGTTAGTAGGATTCTGATCTGTTCTGATTAATCAGTAGTAGAAATGAGATGAAATATATATGAGCAATTATCATATGTTTATTTCAGTTTTCTTTGTTTTTTTATTTTGTTTGGATAGATATGTTAGTACTAGCTATAAGTATTTCTGACAAATTATGTTGGTCGAATTGCTTGTTCTTGACTCCTACTCAGTATAAAGTAATAACTTGGAGGAGAAATGTTGAGCATTGTTTTCTCTTTTTTAACTGTTTTCTTTTATTGAGACTTTCAAGAATAGAATTGAATATGTTCTACTATACATTTGAAGATTGTATGATCAAACAGTAGAAGTTATGGAATGTAGTACATTTCAGCATTGATTGTCTGTTTCTTTCATAATTTTATGTGTACCTATCATACATATGCATCCGCTGAGGATATATGCCGGATAAGTATCAAATGGGGGATGACATTCAAATGTTATTTAGAGCACTGATGAAAAATAACTATCAAAGGGCTCAATTGATCACCATTTATCAATTTTAATTGGCAAGGTTGTTTTTACCACAGATATCACCCGTCGCCAGAGAACACGTTTGACTGCTTATTCGATTTTGGAAAATGGTGATTATGGATACAGACATCTTTGGTTAAAAGATCTCATTGAGCTATAATTGGTGCCTTGACGATCTAAATTGGCTAGCGCAAAAGAAACATAAAATTAGTTATAGTATCTTATCTAACATGTATTCTAAGGGTTCACAGTAGTGCTTGGATATACATAAAAAGTACACCAAAAATTCTGAAATGAATAGATGAACAATACTCGTATATATTTTATGTCATTGCTTCTCCTGATTGACCAGGACACGTAAAGATGATACCAACTTATCTATGGACATACAATCTTCAAATGTGTAGCAAAATGTAAGTAATTCTATTTATAAAAGTTTCAACAGAAGAAAAATACAAAAAAAGAAACAATGCTCAATATTCTCCCCAAAAATATTACTCCAAAATGAAGAAGAGGCAAGAACAAGCAATTAGGCCTACATAATTTTTCAAAAAAACTGAAGAACAGAGCTCGCATATCTATTCAAACAAAATAAAACAAAGAAATCTAAAACAAACAAATGAGCATTCCTTGGTTTGCTTGGATGATTTATATGATCTTATTACTTCGGTTGTTTTGTTTACCCGTTGGTTGCCTGATTTTCGCTTAAGATGAGGCTTTCGGAATAAGATTTGAAGGGCACATTTCATATTTTTGGAAAATGTTTAGTAGAGTGATGAAAGAAAAAACATAACAAAGGGCTTAACCGATTACCAAATGTGAATCTAAAAAAAAATAGTCATGCTAATTTGACACAAATACCGTATGGTTTTTATGCCTACATAACACAGTTGATGATCATGTATGGAGCTATCTTTGGCATCTATGAACTGATTCTGAGCTCTACTATTACTTTTTATTTGACATATTCTTGCTTAAGTTTACGTATAATTATTTACTTGCAAAATTATGTTGATATATTTCTCTTTTTTTTACTTAGATATCAGATGGGTAAACAAAAAGAATGTGAAACATTTGCTACTTGGGATAGGAAACGAAGATAATTTTTTGTGCCTTATGCTTAAAAATGTAGAAAAAACAAATACACCAACAACAAATTTCAGTAAGGAAGCTTGGCAAAATATAACCAAACTCGTTCAAGAAAGAACTGGTAGACTGTATGACAAAACTCAGTTAAAAAATAAATGGGATCAGCTTAAACTGGATTGAAGTTGTGGAAGGAGCTCAAAAGAGGGGGATGGGACCCCATTAGAAAAACAGTTGATGCAGCTAAGAGAAGATTTCAAAAAGTAGAACATCTTATATTCCATAATTCTTAATTTAAAATTATACATTTTAAAAGGTCAATTTATCAATTGTAGGTTTTACCAATGCAAAGAAATTTAGATTTTTTGGCATTGAACCGGAGCTGGAGGAGAAGCTAGATACTATGTTTCTTGGTGTTGTAGCAACAGGGGTCAGCATCTGGGCCATAACAGAAGAGCCTACCTCTAATTTGGATGAGCCTAAATGTGTTATTCGAACGTGGTCTACATGATACAACCGGAAGAAAGGGAGCAAGGAGAGTTCAGTCACTCTAAACTATCTGCACCTCGGCAAAAAGAAAGAAAAAGAAAAGTAAAAGTGGGGCAACTAATCTATCCTAACAGATATCACAGCTGGTGACAAACAACATCAGTATTACTTTGAGTGCCCACACTGCTCTCCATGCATATCCAACAATGACAGATGTGTCAAGCTACTCGACTCAATTTCAAAAATTTTATTTTTGTCCCAGAAATAAGATCCCTGCAGATTGTGACTACTTCTGGTGGGCTAATGACACTGATGATGTAACTTCAGACTGTGATCAGTCGATGAGAGATACAGGGATGGAAAGGAGATTGTGTCGAAGGCTTGATCATCAGGATTTCATGTCAAACATCATTATAGGCTTGTTGATTATTGTTGTTGTTCTCGTTATTGTAGTCATTTGCTTCAAATAGCTAATTTTTTTTTATGTATTAGGGTATTTTGGATGAGTGGCTCTACACTTAGAGACAAAATGCGAAATGAATATATCCGTGATAGGGTTTACACTTAGAGACAATGCAAAATGAGTACATCTGTGATAGGATTGTTGTAGCTCTTGTGGCGGACAAAATTAGAGAAAGTTGTCTTAGATGGTTTGGTCACATTAAACGTCGACCATCTGATGATCCGATTAGAAGAGTAGATGTTTTAGATTTGACTTATGTTAAGAAAAGTAGAGGTAGAACTAGGAAAACTTGGGCTTATTGTATAAAAAAATGATGTTAATTTACTAGAACTAAATGAAAATATGACACTAAATAGGACATAATGGAGAAAAAGGATTCATGTAGACGCCCCCACATAATGAGATTAAGGCTTTGTTGTTGTTGTCGTTGTTGTTGTAGGTATTTTGGATTGAACTGTCGGTTTTTTTCTGTACGAACTTTTTCTGTAATTTAATTATAAATATTATAAAAACTGCACTTATTTCAATATATTATATATATATAAGGGCAAAACAGTCTTTCTCAACAGAAACAGCAGCAGCATAACAGGTCTTCCAAATAGGCACATGTTTCTTCATCAGCAGCTTTCTAACGACTCCTGAAAAAGCTGCTTCTGAAGCAGCTTTAGAGCAGCTTCTTGGAAAAATAGCAGCCACCACAACGCACCTTAAATCACATTCTCAAGTCAACAATTCTTTGCAGTTTCTAGGAAGATTAATAAAGTAGAAGACAAAGCAAAAAAACCTCTAATATAATAAAGAAGCACATTAATGTACCCAATCTCCCATGCTTCTGCAAGTGTGCAGACAAAAACTCTCCACTTTCGTAGAGGCTGAAATTGGAGTAAACTGAGAACTTTATACTGTAGCTTCAAGAGAATGAGTTAGCCACACAGGGACTAGCTTGCTAAACAGATTAAATAGCATCGCAGAAAAACACAATACAGATGGAGGCCGTAATTCTACCGCTTTAGAAGGACCAAGAAACAACTAATAAGAAGGAAAACGTATCATAAATATCTATTGCGTGAAAAGTTAAAAGCATTTTTAGGCAACCTTCATAGTAATTCAGGCATCGAGGGTCAGAGGATGGGAACAAAAGAGAACAAACAATTTTTTGTGGTTCAACCTCAACTACCATAAGCATAAATTTCCGGATTAAGATTTCCATACCACTAGCTACTGAAAGAAAACCATTACTTGCAAGAAAATATTTCTTGTAAGAAAGTCAGATAAATAAGGAGGCATGTAACAGCATCAAGATTCATCAATTAACAACTAAACTTCAATCCATCAATAAAGAAACAAGAAAATTTCTTCTTTGAATCAAAATCAAGTTTAAAATAGTGAAATCCGAAAAAAATAATTATAGAAGTATGGAAGTAACGAAGAAATTACTTGTTGGCGAGGCCTTCGACGACCAATTCATTGACGACGTAGCTAATGACTCGGCCGAGAAAGTTCCCGCCCGCCATAGCGGCCGATTAGAGTCTCCAAGCCAACAACAAGAACAAGATTGAGGATATGTTTATAAGGCCAAGTTTCCCAGTAAAGGAAACGAGGAAAAGAGGAAACCCTAGAAACAACCCTAGAATGACAGCGCTGCTTGAGAGAAATGTAAATAGCGTGGTTTTTAATATGCGAGGAATTGCCAGCGCGAATTAATGCAGCGTGAACGACTCCGACCGTAGGGTGTGGAGATGTTCACCATACCACAGTTTTTATATATTTACATATGTGATACATGAGGATATGCTTATTCGCGGACTTCGTCTTATGGATTTGTTTCGCGCTGAAATTTAGTTTTTTTAGTTCTTTATGTATGTTCAGAAATATTTTATAAAAATAAAATAATATTTTAAAATAAAAACTTAATTTTTTGTCTATTTTAAGTATTTAAGAATAATTAAAAAATAATAAAAAAATCATAAAATACTAAACTAATGGAAATGTTCCAAAATTATTTTCTAAGCACTTAGGAATCATTGGAATATTTTTCCAAGGTTTAAAAATAAAGATATCTATTTTTAAACCTTAAAAATGATTTTTAAGGCT